AAAAAAAAAAAAAAAAAAAAAAAAAAAAAAAAAAAAAAAAGAAGAATTAAAAAAAAGAGAGAGAGAAAGAGAAACAAAGGGAGAGGATTACAACACGACTGCATCGCTCCAAAGACAACAGTTAACATATTCACACACAGGTTTTTGTTTGTAGTATGTACATCAGTTACAGAAGTGGCGACGCAGAGGAAAAGGCTCAACTTTCTTTTGAGTTAGACGCACCCGCACACAGACACACATCCACGCCCACGCACGCACACTGGCAGCAGAGGGAGGCAAGCTACCAGCTCGGGGGGTCACCAGTCTGCATCCTCCTCTATGTAATAATCGGGAGCAGTACCATCAAAGAGGCCTGGGTCTAGGGACTTCCGCTGCTTCCCTCTGGCAAATACCCTTGAGATGGAGCCAAATCCCATTTTCTCTTTCTTCTTTTTCCTTTTTTGGTCTTCGAGGTCCTCTAGAGACTGAGGGAGGGGTCGGGGGGGGGAAAAAAAAGGAGGAGGGGAAATAACATGAGCATCTCTAGCATTCACATATATGGAGAGAAGCTGCTCGGATGCTAAGCGGTGGGATTGAGGTAGGCTGAACTAGTACGTTGGGAGCACCTGAAACGATGAAGACCGCTAGGGGACTTGGCTACTAATATTTCATGGAAGGAGCCCGCAGTGATGTGCCCAGCATGCTAAAACTCTTAAGAAAGCTCACAAAGGGAGCCTGCGGACAGCCACATTCCTTAGGTGGCGTTAAAAATTGCAGCTTTGGTAAGGAGGACAGAGAGAAAAGGGTCCATGCTGGGAAGCTGCCATTAATATCTTCATAACTTTGTGGAAAGGCATCAGGGACCAGTAAATCCCAGAACCAAGGGGAGGGATGAGATCTTGCACCAATGACCCCCTTCCTTCTATATGGCAGCAACCAGCCCCAAGCAGAATATGGGAAATGGGGTCTGACCCTGCTCTCACTACAAAACAATCCGTTGACTTCAGGATGACCTGGGGGAGCTTCAACAGAAGGCTGCTGCGGGTGGATATTGGGAGAGCAGGTGTTCAGGGAGCAATTTTCAGAAGTGCTGAGTGCTTGTCTTCCCTAAATTCACGTGCTTTGTTTTCTGCATGAACACCCTCACCCCCACGCACGGGTACGGAGCTTGGCTGAGTCTGCTCGTTGTGCTCCATCCCAGGATGCATCGTGTCCTTGATGTGCTTGAACCACCTCATCCCCCCTCTGCCCTCAACACCACCAACCTGGACACGCGGCAGCAAAGCCATTCCAGGGGTGCCCTTCAGCTGTTTGAAACATTAGCCAGTATAACCCTTGCTTTAGGCCACGCCGTTTCTCTCTCAATAGCATTGGTGCAAATTTCCTTAACGTAAAAAATGGCCGAGGTCCCTTTGTTACCCCCTTTCTGCACCCGATTGATTCCCTGAGTCTCGAGAGCGCTAGGAGAGTTCCTCTTCCTTCCAAACCTACTCACTAAACTTGGAGGCATCGTGGACAGGGGGGCAATTAAGAATGACTCAAGACTCCCTTAGACTTAGCTCAGCTACACATCAGCCAGGGGGACTAAGCTGGTGTCACACCTGGGAAGGAGCTGGCAGGAAGTGCAAGGTACATCGTGCGATTCGATCCCTACAGCTCCTTCCCTCCCTCAGCAGATGCGATTCCCTACACCTGTCGGGCCTGGCTGTGTCCATTAAATTTTCTAGATGTGATGACCGATTAAAATCTCTCTCTGTCACCTCTGCTAGATACGGGTCTGAGTCAACATTTGGATCTGGAGCCAAAGCTCTGGGAATCCGGTGGGTTTGATTCAGGCCAGTTTCCAACAGGGAGAGAGATGCTGTCTGTGTCTGAATTGTGTGGTCTGTATCTTTTCTTGCCAACATCCTATAACGCACTTCCCAGCTGATGCTAATAAACTGTATTACTTTAGCAGGTTGGTTGAGAAAGGGAACTGGTTTCCTACCTGTACAATTGGGTTGTGCAAGTTCTTCTGTACCGGTCCAGGACTATCCCCCTACCAGTAGAAGGAGACAGATCAAATTGAAACAGCAGAAACAGTTCTGGGTTACCCTACAGCTAGAGCAAAAGCAGTCGGTGGATGTAAGTATAGAGCCAGAAGCATCCTCTGTGGCAATCCTGTTAACATACAGGCTTCATGGTGTTAGCCCATGCAAAAGCATCACCGTTTAACAGACACCGATTATTTGGGGAATGGGAAACAGGACTTTTGAATAGGGAGGAACATATTAAGGCAGGTAAAACTCTCTTATTCTCTGTTACTCTGATGACTTCACTGTATGTGGCTAATCAAGAAGGAAGTTCAGCCATGGCTTCAGAAAAGTAAAAAAAAAATAAAAAAAAATCAGAATAAAGATGGGTGACTCAGATGGGATAAAATAAGAATCCTTGAAACTTTCCTCCCCACCCCTAAATTGAATTTAGCAAAACTCTCTTGGATCCAAAAAAGACAGATCAATCAAAACCTTTCTTCGTGTTACAGCTATGTCTCTGGAGACGTCTACCGCATTTTTGCAAGCCAGAAAGGCTCTGAGAGATCCGAACTTTGGGGAGCTTGTCAAAGCTCAGCTGTATCTTCCCAACCCCTGTCACTAACAAAAACAAAAGATTTGGGCTAACCAAGATATTTTAATCCAGGTCCCTTTCCCCTTAGAGCAGTGGTTCTTAACCTTGTTGGGCTGGAGGAAGCCCTTGCGTTCACTCCTTTCTTGACTAAAGAAAAATAATAGGGTCAGTTCTTCTGTTGCGAAGAACTCAGAAGACCACGATAGGGTAGAAAGCTTTTGACACAAGGGATTCCCATATGAAACCTCTGGGTTTATCTTGTGAGTCACGTGTAGGTGTTTGCACCCCATCAGTGCTAATGTTACACAGCACCTGTAAAAGATCTTGTGGCACCCTGCCTTAGGCTAACAGATCAAGAAGTTAGGGGAGGAAAGACTGACCTGGAACCACACTATGCATGCTGTTCCCAATTGATCTGCTTCTCCCTTTTAGTACAGGGATCACCACTGGCTGATTGTGGGGATGCCCCAGATTGTCCTGCTAATTCATGCCAGATTATTCATTGTCACTTATTGCACATCAATAAGTGGGTGTAAGGGAGCAGACATCTCTGAAACATGCAAGCCTGGTGACCAGAAGAAAGTAGGGCGCGGGGATTGAAATAAAGCAAGGAGAACCTCTTAGTTCCCAGCTACAATGTTCTCTTCTGGCCCTGGCACCATGTACCTATCAAGGTATACTCCTTCAGACGTAACTCCGCTCCATTATACCGTCTTAGTGGGTGATGCCTTCTCAATGTGACCTGCCATCCCTAGAGTATGTTGCAGTGACTGCTAGAGATCCTAGAAGTAATCAGCTACACAGAACTTGCTTCCGGAAAGCCCAAAAGCTCGTCATTCAGCTTCTCTCACAAATCAGTAGTAGAGTGTGACTGCTGGTACGGCACTCTCGGGGTTTTGTGGGTTAGTGGGAAGTGACCCCATTGTCAGGATTGCTCCAAGGAACTGGGAAGATGCCAATAGTCCACTGCAATGAGGAAGCCCCAGTTTATTACTAAACAAACCTGCAAAGCCAGGAAAGCTCCTGTTGGGCTGAATGTATAATGTGTACGAGCCTGGTATGGAAAACGTGCGAGGAGACAACACAAGTGCGCACAGACTTTCAAACAGGAGAAGCTCCAAGCCTGACTGCTGCAAGTATAAAGGCCGTGCAAATTTAATCAGTAAAAGTTAGTCCTAGGAGGTTCCCTGGCATGGAGATCTGGGGTCTCCTTACTACTTCTGCAGATAAAAGGATCAGAGAGTTTGAGCTACTGCGGTGGCTGTCGGAAAGGTCAACTCCTGCAGTGGTTAGACTGACACTACCCGCTTGTTCCACACTGGTCACTCGGACACTATTAGATGGAGCCTCACAGATGTGGCAGGGGCTTTAACCAGCCAAGCGACAGCTCAAGGGTCTGTTATCAGTCTCCCGAGCTAGCGAGCCTGTCTGGCCTGTTCTCCAGTCTCCCCCAGCGGTCTCTCTTCCCATGAAGTTGCACAACTGCCCGCAGGGGCTGGAACTTGTTCTCTGATTCCCAGATCTTCACCTTAGTCAGCATGCGCTGCAAGCCTTTTTTATCTGGCAGAAACTCGTTCACCTGATCCTCTGCCCAGAATCAAATTACATTTATCTGCATCTACTAGCCATGCTATCTTAATTATTCGCAGTATAAATCCCTGTCTATCTGATTGCAGTGCTTCTGGGTATCTCCTGCACCTTGCAATTTATTTTCTTGTCTAGTTTCAAACGCTCTCTGCCATACCTTAGCTCCAGCCATTTACATTCATGCTGTCACTACAAGGATGGAAGAGATGCTCGTCTTTTCTTTGCTTGCCCATCTATACAGAGAGCTTCCAGACTCAGGCTGGAGGCTCCTGTGATTAATAAAAAAAATCAAAATCTCCCATATTAACAAAGAAATCAAATGCAAAGGGCCAATTTCTACTCTTAACTGCACTATTATAAACCAAGATGAACCTCCTTGATGGAATTAGTGTGAATTCATACCAGCCCAGTAGAGACCAGTGTGTGTGGGGTCATGTCAGACCACATAACCTGCACACTCATCATACTGTCAACTAATGGAGATTTGCTTGGAAGCTCACCCCACAAAGTCCTGTGTTTTTCAAGCGGAAGCTGCTGTGTTCTGTCCCGAATGCAGTATGTGGTGTGGCCAGCGACTATAGCTAGTTTACCCATGACATTTTAGTTCATGGAGGGTTTGAAAAAACCATGTTTTCATTTTGGCTCACGCGGGTGCACAGCTCTCAAGCTACACCCGGTCCACTTTGAAAGCTCAAAGTGAATCTGATGAAATGGCTGAATCTGGCTTGCTTTTTGGGTCGTGGGCCACAGGGAGAAGTTTCAAAGCTCTCTACTTTCTCAAACAAAACTGGAAAAGATCTGCTCGGAGTTTGAGGGGAAAAAAGAGCTTTGCTAAAGTCCCAATCCAAGTCCCAACTCAAAGTCCAAGTCTTCTGTTTTGAAGCAGAAGACTCAACGTTTTCAAATTTTCACTTTGCTGGAAATCAGTTTGTCCCACTGGAGATCAGTGAGATCCCAGATGCCTCGCGGCAAAACCCACACTTTCTCAAAAACCTCTTGACAACTGGCATTTCTGTGCTGCAATAAAATGTCCTGGAACAAGCTTGTGCCTGTTTTTCAGGACGTTGCAGAGAAATAGATGGGCCCTGTTTTGGAAGAGCTCTTGAAAATGAGGAACCTGTTTCCCGCTGCCTTGTATTGTGAATGGTCAAGTCTAGCACGCAAAGTCAATGCAAGCCTTGCTCAAATTGGAACAGCCATCTTCACTTGCTTTACAGGCAAGAAGCTGGGGGGCAGAGAACAGGGCCCTTTGCTGCTTGGTATTTGGGCAGTTCTAAGTCCCGTTCAAATGCACAGTATGAGCAGTATGAATGGTCAGATCCAAAGCTGAGTGAAGTCAATAGGAATCTCTGCCTTGTCATCACTGGTCTTTGGATCAGATCCTACAAGAAGAGGTGACTCAAGACAAGCAGGTGAGAGTGCCGGCTAAAGGAAGCAATGCTGGCGCAGATGTTAAGATGACAGCTACGGGAGTGACAAATGACCTTCACAACCGCCTTACATTGCACAGGGAATGCGTTCGATGTCGAGGGGAGTTGATGTCACTTGGCGTGGACGACCTGTCGCCTTCTGCTGCTGACGCGTCAGAGATTATGGAAGGCTGCCGTGAATGACAAGGACTCACTCTGACAGCTGAAAGGCAAGGAACAGAGTCGGGTGTCAGTGGAATTTGTATTTCCATCACAAAAAACCTCCCTGCAAGGGGCTGAGCTTTAATTTGGAGACTAGAGCTCATCAGCCGCTTTCCACCAGGAAGGTGCCTTGCACAGTAGTTAGGGACGAGGATGTGAGCTCAAATATAGATTTGTTATGTACGTCCCATCATATTTATTCAAATCATTCTACAGTGTTTTCTGTCTGCCTTTGGCTCCTTCCACTGCGGTACTTCTGCAAGGACAGTTGCTACCTGGGATGCTGGATGAAAACTGTGCATGGCAGCATGAATGCCACAGACCTGCTCCTCCCTTCTAGAGCAGTGCAACCCAAATTCTTCCTCAGCATGACCCCTCACTCCCAACCCACAGCCCTCCACCCCTGTCACCCCATCCACTGATGTTGGGACCCCATTTGGGGTCACAACCTACCGTTTGGGAATCGCTGTTCTAGAGGGACACCTGAGAGAGCAGGACTGAACTTGTGGTACATGGACTCCAGAAATTTGGATTCATTTCCCAGCTCTGTTCTCATCTCCCTGTGTGGCCCTGGAGCATGAAAAGCATACTATGATCTTCTTCAGTGGTTAAAGTATCACTGTGATCGCTCTGTGGAGTACCTACAGCAGACAGGCAGAAAGCCTTGGGATGTCAGGGCAGCTGTTTTAGTAAGAGTTTGTAGTTTTTGGGAAGAAGTAGCATGTGCCTGAGGGGCTGTGATCTCATCAGGGACTAATAACAGATTCCCGCTCCAATGCTCATCACCTCTGGTGATAAACTGTGGCATGCTGAACAATCCATGGATTTACAGATGAGAAGCAATCACTACAAACGTGTGCCCTCACGTATGTCCATGATTATTGGCACCTTTGCCACTGCAGATGCTGGGTCAGTAAGCAAGCCAAGGCCAACATTTTCTGAAGCCATTAGTAAATCTGTGCACTTTGGTTTTTGGAGGCCCATCTGGAGAGGGGGCTGCGATTCCCCAGAAGTCAAGTGCTCGGTGCCTTCTAAGCACCAGCCCCTGTAAAGCACCCAAGCTCACCAGTCACTTTAAAAACTGAAGGCAGGTCATTCAATAAACAAGACCATCTGCCCCAGAGCGCGTTGCTCACTGCATGGTCGTGGATGCTTAACTTCAGGGTGCTGATTAAGTACGGGCGATTGGATTTCTTTAGTTTTCGCATCACATGGCAGGGGAGGGGATACACACACACATATTCACTGAGCAGAAGCTTTCACACGGTGCCTTGCAGTCTCCATCACAAGGACAGTTGGTTGCCGAACTGAGACCACAAGGGAGCTGCCTCAGCTTCGTCTCTGCTGAAGCCACCACTCTGAGATGTCCCTGAAGCGTCTGCTCTTCTGCAGTACACTCTTTAATGTTGGCATTGTGCTCTTTGCCAAAAAGGACCAAGGAAAACGCTCTAGTCCTTTATGTACCACAGGCTGATCTGCAGGTGCAGCTGGCCTTTAAGCATCAGCAGCTGCTCAGGGGCACTGGGGTCTCGAAGAGGGACAGGAAACATACAGGTGCAGCATACTAATGGCAGTGCCTATGAGGATTAACGGGGTGAGATGGCTGTGCTGGCTTTCCAGCCCTGGGAATGGGAGCTGGCTGTGCTCTCGCCACACTTTGAAAATCTACTGCATGTCCTGCGGCACTGACTTTCAATCTGGGAACCGCAGATTTGCACACCTGATCTGCACCCGGTCCATGGAGTTACGCACCTCGCTCCCTGGCAGCTGCTGCTACATGCATTTCGAACTGGCCTGTATCCAAACACGGGCTAAGTCTTTGCATATGGAAGACAAAAGGGCTTGAGTTCCTTCATCCCTTACCATATGCTCTGCAGCTCCTCTGCACCGGGTAAGTGGGTAGAGCGGACAGTGACGGCGGGGCACTTAGCATCGGCAACGTGAGTCAGAAAAGCCTGACTTCTGGTGCCGAAGAGGGGATGCGTCTCTAGAACCAGACAAAGCTAACTGCACAACAACTTTCCCTCGTGGAGGGCGGCAGGGAGTTTGCGTAAAGCAATGCAATCGATTTTGTTTTGGCTTGAGTTCAGTTGCGGGGGGAAAAGGCTTCCTCAGAGCCAGTATCGACAGAAATATTTACAAGCATAACTGATTTTTCTTTTTTTAAAATGCAGATGTTCCCTTGCAGCTCCGGGAAGGCAAACCCAACAGAACTGGGCTGCGGCAAGAGAGAGCAACTCGCTAGACTGACATCACTGTCAGCGCAGGACAAATGTCATCTGTTCATAATATGTGCTGATATTTGTAAAATGGGGGGGGGGGGGA